TTTTTTGGTTTTTTGTGGTTTTTTTTCCAAATATACAAAGTCTGTGTTATTTTATCTCACGCTTAAACCCTACTCCTATTCTGACTGTAGGGGAGAACTAACAGCCTCCAGTTAGAGACTTTTTTACCCCAGAAAGTTTGACTAGAATGAAAATATTTCAGGAAAATACATGTAACCTTGCAAAGGTAATACACATGAACAATCTGAATACATGAGACTCAAGTGTCGTTTTGAAAGTTTTGTCAGTGTTATTTTCTTTCCTTTGGTCTCAGATTTTTATCTGTGGATCAGGCTGCAAGTCGTCTGCAAGCTGCTGCTGGTGTTACTGGGGCTGCTGGAGACTGTTCAGGCAGAGCTGTTTGTTTTGTATTTAGAAATGGGAACTGCTGAAAGTTGCTTCGTGATGCTGTTTATATGAGGGTTAAGCTTTCTTGGGAAAAAAAACAACATACTGGCTTTGTCAGCCAACAGATCAGGAAAGAACAAATTTCCTCTTTATTTATTAGGGTACTGTTATTAGGTACAGTAAAATATAATATGATCAGTGAAGTTACAGTGCTCTCCTTAAACACCAAATATGCTAACCTGGCCTGGACCATAGGGAATTTTCCTTGTAAACTGTGCACATTTCTTTAAAAATGTGAAAATACTTAGGGTGTATCATTCTCATTAGAAACACATAGTTTGACTGCTTGCTGTTTCTGCTCCCACAGCTGGAAAGTTTCAAGGTCTGCGTGTTGCCAAGCACAATTTGTTGACCTTATGTCATAAATCAAAAAGTGATGGACTCTGCAAGAAAAATCCCAAATGAGACTTCATGCTCACCAGATTCTAAGAGTTAAATTATCTTACTGTTTAGTGTTATATTTCTGTAGGCATTAGTATTATTTTATTTTTTAGTGCAGGTTTTTTTAAATCTAAAATAGATATTACATATTGGACTGAGGATTCTACAAAAATAATCTATAGAATGGGGAAAGTTGAAGTTTAAAAGTTGAAAAAAAAGAGCTAATTTTGAAAGTAGAGTAGTTTTGGAGCATTTGTCTTCTGTTTCTTGGTGGTATGATGGCCATCATTGGGCTTTCCTTGTTGGGCTTTGCATTTCATGTACAACAGACTGGTTTAGCTGAACATTTTGCAGTCTTTCAGTGGTGTAAATATTGGGAGAGACAGTGTCAAACATCTCCACAGTATTGCTAGGACAGTTTTGCCTCTACTGATCTGAAACACCTCAGAAAAAGGAGGTTCCAGAATCTCATAGTCAACTTGTTCTGGTGTAGCACTACCCTGTAGAGAGAGCTCTTTGAATATCTAACCTATGTTCTTCTTGCTGTAGATTTAGCTGTCTTTGTCTGTCTGTACTCAGTGACACAGATTTATCAGTACATAATAATTATATGAAAATAATTGGCATGTTTGTCCCTAGCTATCTTGTTTAATTTAAGCAGTTTCTCAGCAGTTGTACACTACATGCCTGTTCTTCTTTTGCTCTTCTGAACTATCTTGTTTTGTCTGTGCTTCTCCTGAACAGTAGTGCCCAACACTGTCTTTTGGGGAGTTGTCAGGTCACTCATGTAATACACTTGGAATCACGTAAATGCCGTAGTTGGAAGGGACCTCTAGAGATCATCTAGTCCAACTCCCTTGCTAAAGCAGGATCATGCAAAGCACATTACTCAGCTGCATCCAGTCAGGTCTTGAATATCTCCAGAAAAAGGGGACATCCACAACCTCCCTGAGCAGCCTGTCCCAGAGCTCTGTCACCTTCACCGTTAAGTTTTTCCTCATATTTAAATGGAAATTCCTGTGTTCCAGCTTGTGCCCATTGCCCCTCATCCCGTCACTGGGAACTGCTGCAAAGAGTCTGGCTTCATCCTCCTTGCATCCACTTTCTAGATACTTACAGGCATTAATAAGGTCTCCCCTCAGCCTTCTGCGGGCTCAAGAGTCCCAGCTCTTTCAGGCATTCCTCCTACTTCCTCTGCTTCTAAACCGGCCTGTAATAACCAGTGCTTTCTGCAGCATTGCATTGCTGGGGCTTATTTATTTGTGATCTGTGGCATTTTTTGTGCTCTTGTACTGCTTACACATTTGTTTCTTGTTGTGGTTTTTGTGTATGTGATTTCTCCTGCCAGCTACTTCAGATCTGTTTTTATTGAAATTCATCTTGTTGACTTTGGGCCATTCAATCACTTTGTGTGAAGAACTAGCCTCTGCAGGGTTTTGTGAATTTGTGACATAATCTCTCTTCCATCATTCAGATCATTACTGAAGAAGGGAGCAAAACCTCTTTGGTGACCTCAGTTAAATGCCTTTTAGTGTGATAATGAACTGCTAACTATGAGAGTGAAATGTTCTTGTGCAGCTCTGTGCCCACTTCCCTGCAACTGCTGCAAAAGTGCACTGAAATTCAGACAAATTACAACTGCTACCTTTCTTAAAAGATCTGTCAAAGAAGAAAATTTCAATAGTTTTATTTTAGTCATTTGTTGTGTTGTTTGTTTCTTATTGTTTTGTGGGAGGCCAGTCACTGATGGTGTACCTCAGGGGTCCATGCTGGCATCAGCAGCATCTTCATTAATGACCTGGGTGGATGGACAGGAGGCTGCACCCTCAACAAGCTTGCAGGTGATAAAAATTGGAAGGAATTGTTGCTGCACCAGATGATTGTGCTGCCATCCAGAGGAATGTCAAAAGGCTGGAAAAAATGGGCTGACAGGAACCTCATTAAGTTCAACAAAAGGCAGTGCCAAGTCCTGCCCCTGGGAAGGAATAAGCCCAGGGACCAGTATCTTCTGGGAGCATCTGGAAAGCAGTTTTGCAGAGAAGAATCTGGAAGTCCTGTGGGCACCATGCTGAACTTGAGCCAGCAAGGGGCCCTTCTGGCAAAGGGTGTCACCAGCCTCTTGGGCTGCATGAAAGGCAGCATTGCCAGCAGGTCAAGGGAGATGATCCTGACCCTCTGCTCAGCTCTGGTGAGACACATCTGTGGTGTTGTGTCCAGTGTTACCTTTCCCAGTACAAGATATACTGGAGTGAAGAGCTGTAAAGATAAGAGCTTGGAGCATCTCTCGTACAAGAAGAGGCTGAGGGGGCTGAGGTGGTTTAGCTTGGAGAAAAGAGAGCTCAGAGGGAATCTTAATGATGTGTATATACTTACTAGGTTGTTATAAAACTTATTAAAAAAAAATTATCAAAAAGGAATAAATGAAAAAATTACAAGAAAAGGAAGCTATTTAGTGAAGTGCTTTTAATATGCAGAGACATACCTTTTTTTTTTTTCCCTGGAAAACTTGTTCTTTGCCATTTTTCACTTATCTCTCAATATCTTGCTCTGGATGTTAAGGCTTCTTGTCCCTTCTGTTTCCCAGAAATGGCATCTAAAGAACTGATGATTGATATTTAAATGATTAAATATGGTTTGAACTTTGGAGGGTAAGGGCAGATCTTTTTAAGCAAGACTTGAAATATATCATTGTGTTCACCTTACCCTAAGTATTTTATGTAAAATTATTTCAGATGATCACAGTTTTGATGCAAAATAATAAAATATGATAATACTGCTGAAGGAAAAGGAAATAAAGGGTAGTTTACACAATAAGTGTTATAATGTCTTGTGTGACCTAATTTTAAGTCGCATGCCAGAGGACTTAGAAAAGGGAAATAGTCTCATTGTAAGATTTTTCTCTCTGAAAGTCATTGTAAACTTTCCCTATTCAAATTTTTATCACACTTCTGATCTGTATCAACACCCAGCAGCCTACTGTTCTGGGTGTTTATAACCTTCAAGTGTGCACTGCTGCCAGCATTTCCACTTCTTCTTACTTCAGTTATCCCTATCCTATCTTGATCAAAACTTCCTTTACTCTTCAAAATAAGTGCCAGTGTTTTCTAGAACACTTGCAATTTGCCTGTAAGGTTTTTGCATCCTGAATGATGGCATGAATGCGAGCCAGTGTATCTAGAACAGTATTTCTTGCTCTCCAGCTGTATCTGACAGAACTGGCAGGGATTAAGGAAGGTTATGAATTGAAAGCAGAGAATAGCTGTTCCTGAAACAGCTGTATGTACAGGCAGTTCTAAGTCAAGGTACAATGGCTTGTTGGTATCTCATGGAGGATGGCTTCATCCTTTCTCCCCTTCTCTGCTCCTGGCACAGAGGCATCCTTCTTCCCCTGTGCCTCTACTGCTTTAACAGCCTTCTAGCGATCTCCTTATCTCACCACATTGGCAGAAAACTCCAAAGTTATTTCCTTTTTTTCTTCCTTGAGTTTGGTTTCCTCAGCATTTGTGAGGCACTGAGCAGGTGGTGAGGAGGAGGTAAGAGCACTGAGCATCAGCAGAGAGGATGGCAGGAAGAGGTAGGACCTTCCCATCTCCGTGCTGGAAAGCTGCTAAGTTTGTTCTCTGACTCTTGTATGACCGCAGTGATAATCTAGAGCTAGATGGGATTATTCCAAGTGAGTTTAACACTAAGATAAACTATTAGAAAAGACACTGTTGTTTGGGAAGAGAATTATCTGCTCTCAAACTTGCTGGACAGCAGTTAAGCAGAAGCAGCTGTCTGTACAGATGTCTAAAACATCCTGCATTTAATACTGAAATTGGCAATGTGATATTTGAATAAATTGCAAAAGCAAAGACAGATAATATACAATGTTTAAATTTTCATTCTATTGCTTTATTGTTTTCATTCTGTTGTATTATTATAATTAATTAATTAATTAATTAATTTCAGGCTATTGTATGTGGCATCATTTTCTTTTCTGTTGTCACTCTATCCTGGCTTGGATTTCATATTTTTTTCACTTCTACAGGAACGACTCAAATCCACTAGAAACAAGAGAATCCCTGTAGGTAGATTCAGACAAGCTTTCATTCTGGTCATGAACCATATAAATAAAGTGTTACTTTTATAATAGTTGTAAAATCTTCATGATCCAGAACATGCAGCTGTAGTTTGATGTTTTATGTAATAATTCTCTTTCTCCTTCTTGTAGGTCCTTTTGTTCTGCATCACAGCTGCTCTGTTCATGTTCTTTTTCAGGTATGTTGCTAGTGTATCTATTTATGTTTGTAAATATTATTTTAAAGAGCATTTCTAAGACCTTACTTGGTTTGAGTGTTCATCTGAAACTAGTATATTTCTGGATTGGGTGAAGTGCTTTAAAAAAAATAGCATTAAATACCCAGTGCTGGGAACATAACTGACCTAAATGGGGAAATTCTGAGTGAAATGCTTTAAGTCTTCTGGTGATTATACTCATTACTTAAAGAACCTCTTCTCTTTTCATAATTAAAACCCTGGAGATCTAACACTACATAGTATGACAATGGCAGAAACCACTGCTTTTCATGTCAGTTCTTAAATAGCTTATGGCAGGTAATGTTAGCAACAGAAGATAACATTTTTTCTTCTGGTGAAAACAGAGAAGAACAGGAAAATGAAATTTTACAGTCATAAATAATATCCAATATTTGACATGTGTGCGGGTGCAACTACCTTCTTTTGATTTCAGAGTGAAGTAGTTTCACATATGTTTTCACAGGTTACCAGTTGTATTTCTTTTTTAGAACATACAGGAATGGGGTTGGATGAGACACTCATTTTAATATTTTTTTTTCTCTTGGCCTGCAAGATATGTGTAATAAAGTATTTACCTTGTCATTGTTTCCCTTTTAAATATCAGACCTCTCAATTTTTTTTTATTATATCTCAAGCTGGAAAGTTGCTTGCTAAAGTAACCTTTGACCACAACCCTTTGACTTGGAATTTTCTGTGGCATGTAGCCATCTGTGGTTCTTCAAGCCACATGATCCCCTGGTAATTGCAAAACTCTGGAAGCTACAGCTTGTTTTTCTGTAATTCCCTCACTTATGAATTACTTACAGATACTGGCCAAGAACAGTCTGTCCATGAGGGAAAGCTGTTCATTTAAAGGATTTGAAGAAGCATTCCTCCTTTCATCTACCACCCATTAAGACCCTCATATTGGCAGTCTTCTCCTTGCTTTATTTTCTTCTACTTCCCGGAATCATGATATTACAGCTTTGGGGAATTTAACTTGTACGATTGAAGTTAGACACCTGTCTGTCTGACTTGAAGCAACCCAAAAACACTGAAGTGCTGGTCAAAGCTAGAAATGTTGTATGATTCTGGGGGAAGCTAATTGTCCCCTATTTATGTCTGGTAAGACATAGGAGATAACCTGGAAGTTGAATGAGATTTGACCCGAGCCCAGATGTATTTGGTGGGTCCCTCTCTGACCTGACATGGCAACACTGGCAGGTGAATGGGCTCCAAACTACTTTCTCTGCTAAAATTAGTTGCTCTGTGCCAGGGTTGATGATTATCCTGTTTAACATTTATCAGGAACATTTAAATCCTTTGTCCTGGTGTTGTAAGAGAAGAATTAAAATAAAGGACCAGGAGGTTGTAAGTCCGTTAGTTTAATTATCAGGACAAAAATAAACAAAATTACTCTTTTTGTAAACACAGAATAAATTCCAGTATATTTATAAAAAAATAATTAGCTTAGACAATTTTTTTTTTTTTTTCCTTTCTGACTGTAATTGGTATTGTGATTAGAACTTCTTCACAAAGATTCATGTGGTGCTTTCCAAAAGTAACCATGTGTACATGGTCAGGTGAAAATAATTTAGGGTAAGCTCAGAATCCCCAGGATAACGTGTGAACGGAGCTGTTGTCAGAGGTTGACTGTCAGACTGAGGTTGGATTGACTATATTGATAAGCACCTACTGAGATCCTTCATTGTTTAGTATTTTTGTATTTAAATAATTATGAAGTTGACAGTGAAAATGGTTATTATATGTGTAGGTACTTTGCAGAAAGGTCTTGAAATTCAGATAGATGCAAACTGGAGATATGATCTGAAAAACCATAAAGCTGCTTAATAATTACAAGGTTGAGCTTTTTACAGATAAGGAGCAGTTGCAGATAAGGAGCTTTTAGTTGTACTCAAACTTTAGGTTCTCAATGCATGTTTTGTGCCCTTTTTAGTTATTACACACCAAAAATAATAGGAAAGAGGCAGAGGAACTTCAGAGTTCTGCCTCCAGAGATCTGAAATTTGGAAAATATCATTTATTTTAAAGGGTGGATTGTAGTTGTTTTTAAAAAATAAGGGATGGAACAACTGTCTTCATGTACATACAAGACTGCTGAAAAGAGGAATAAGTAGTCTGTTCTCACTGACTGTGATAGAAAGGATAAGAGATAACAGAGCAAGTTTTTTCTTATTACAAAACCAAATAGTGGCAGGCGTGCATTTACTTAGAATATGAGAAGTTTCCCTGATGAGGTTGCAGATTGTCTTTCCTTTCCAACCTGTAGGAACAGATTTTGGATATCATGAGTGTTACAGCTTAGGGAAAGTAATGGCAGTATTTGATTTTCTCAGTCTCTTCTGCTTTTTGATGCACATCAGTGGCTGTCACATTGTGAAATATGTAATAAGCTGTCAAAGCCAGTGGCCAGTAAAGTCTTCAGAGGCAGGTAACCTGGCTGTGATTTTTAAATGCAACTTGTTCAGTTACAGCTCTGTGCTGTAGAAATCACCATGTCTTGTAGACATATGCAGTGGGAACATATGGGATGGCAGAGAGAGGGAACACAACTGCTCGGGGAGAAGGGAGACAATAGCGAGGTCACTTGATCAGTCCTCAGAGATACTGTCCAGTTCATCTGGACTGGGATTGTGACTTGGTCATTGTCTTATTCCATAGATTAATTTAATAATTGATCCCCTTAATTTGTATTTTGGACAGCCTTTAGAAGAATCTTCTGTGGATATATCCACAGTCCTATGGGAAGCAATCTTCCCATCTTCCTTGTCATCCAAAGTAGAAAGGAATACCATCCTTGGACGTATTCAAGAAACGTGTAGATCAGGGACTTCAGGGCATGTTCTAGTGGCCAAGATTGTAAATTGTGTGTGGTGGGTATTTTGGGGGTGGGGTTTTTCAATTTTTTTAATGTTTGTACTCAGTGACCTCAGAGGTCCTTTCCAACCATAACTATTCTGTGATTCTGTGAATTGCAAAAAGTTGTTAAGCTGCATTTCCTCTGTTTAATGACTCAAATCACTTCAGCCTTTCCTTAATTGTAAGCAGATCAAACTGACAAAATCATGTTAGTACTTTCAGAAAAAAACACCTTGTTCAAAGTCAGTTCTTGGCTTGTAGAATATTTTCCCATTGACTATAAAACCCTGTTAACTGCTGACAGCATTTGTTGTCCTGAAAAACAAACAAAAAAAATTGTCTTTTGCTTTGTCTCAAGACAACTCTGTTCCTAGGGTGGTTTGTTGTCCTTCCGACCCCACCAAAATGTCTAAAAAGATGCTGAGAGCAGTAGCAGCCATAGTTACCAAGATCATGCATAATCCCTTTCATTATTAAAGATAAAATCCTTATACTTAAATGGTGTGATTTGAAGCTTAAAACCTTTCTATAAAGAGGCTTAATGTAAGTCTACCTCTATTCTACCAAAATAGGACTGATATTTGGGAGTCAAATGTCTCAGGGAATAAAAGCCAAGTAATCTTTACTTTCTGAGTTGATATAAATTGCCTTATCTAAGGTTATTAAGTTCTCAAAACTTTAAAGCAATGACTGTCCCCAGTCAGCAGTTCTGGTAGCATTCCTGGCAGCTCCAGGGTTAACTAAACATAGCCAATATTTCTGCTCTGTGTAGTTTTGAGCTGGATCATTTTCCTTGCACAGCTCAAACCATGATGTAGTAGCTGGTATCGGCGCTATGAGCCAGCGACTGGGATGAGCGTGGAAAGCAGAGATGCCCTTCAGCACTCACATGGACTTTTGGCTTAAGGTGATTTTTGCTGAACCTAGGAGATGAGTTATTTAATTTGGAAATTTCAGAACTGTTTTCTCTGTGGAGGAATTAAGATATATTTCCTTTTCTAGTATAATGAATTTTCTCTCTATCTCACAATGTCTGTCTCAAATTATTTTCAAAACAAATTCTGCATAGGTCCTTTGGTCAGGCAGTTAAAATTTACTGATGCTTCTCTCTGACTGCCAACCCTTGCACATCTGATTTCTGTCTCCAAAGCAGCAGCAAGGCTCTGGGGATGGGTCTGGGCTGTTTATTACTTAAAAAAAGAAAGAAAAAAAAAAAGTATTCAGGTCATGTTCCTATCATTTGGAGCAGAAAAGGTTTCTCCAGTTGTAAAATAAATGCCCTTTATTCTCAGTTGGAAGCCTTTGTCCTCAAATGTTGTTGACCTCCTACTCCTGATCATCCCAGCCCAGCCTTATGGCAGTTTTGTCACACTAGTTCAAAACTTCACCAAGCAGCTTTGGTATTTATCTGGAGTTTCCTTAAACCTCTGTAGGACTGTTCAAACATTATTGTATCTACTACAGGACAAGAAGAAAAATAAGGTGCTAAATCTGAGAGTAAAAAAGTGAGAACACAGATCTGAAATAGAAGAAAACACAGGAATACTTCAATAATAGATGACATGAGAAGGGAGTCAGAATGAGCAGTGAATTCAGCAGAGCGGTATTGAAAGGAAGATGGTAGGAAGAAGGAAGGAGAAAGTGACTGAAGAGGGAAAAAATAAGATCAAGTCAGCAGACAGGACCAAAAAATTTAAAAACATACTAGGAAAAAGGCAGCTGAAATGCAGATTATGGGTTTACAAGCAACAAAGTTATATTTACAGACAGACGAAAGATATTTTAGTGTTGTATTTCTTTCTTTCTTCTCTTCCATTCTGCCTTTTCTGGTACTTTTCTCCTAACTTATAACCCTATTTTTTCTCCTAACTTTTTATACCCCTGTTTTTTCTTAAAATTATTCAGCTGAGCTTCACTGGAATTGGTAAAATTTTGCATCACTCATTTGTCAATAGTTGTGATATACAGTTGTTTGTATAGTGCAATCTGTCGTGTGTATATAATGCACATGTTTTGGTAACCACAGTTGAAGCAGGATTCTTTCCCCTTCCAACTCTTTTATTCCTCAGAAACTTACATACAGAAGTGTCTCTGGGGACAGC